CCCCTGGGTTCTCTCCACAGCTCTGTGAGGGCAGTGGGAGTTAGTGGTTAGAGCTGGCAGCCAGGGCTCCTGGGCTCCCCGTGGCTTCCCCAGAGGGAGGTTCTGTCCCTGCCTTCTCTCTAGTAGACTGTGTCTACACTTGTGCAATAACCCGCAGAGCATCCACGCTGCCCACCCGCTCCTGGCAGAAGAGGTACCCGACGGCCTGGTAAGAGACGGCGTCTTGTGCAAGAGCAACGCTCTTTTCTCACAAGTGTGGACGCTCTCGCACAAGCCAGCTCTGCTAGTGATAGAGTTATTGCGCAAGAGTCCTTGCCGCACATCCACATGCCATGGGCGCTCTCGTGCAAAAGCACAGCTCACACATGGCAGGGCGGGCCTGGTCTTGTGCAGGACGCTTTGCACCAGAACCCTTGCACAAGAAGTTCTTGCGCAAGGAGCCACCAGCGTAGACATAGGGTACTGTTGTGTTTCTGTGTGCTTGGCCTGGGCCCGACCCTCCTCTGCTTGGCATCCGGCAGCCATGGTGTGCAGCCCCTACTGGGCCCCCCCCAGGATGCATACACCCCATGGGGGGGAGGGAGAGAGAGAGAGTGTGTGTGTGTGTGTGTGTGCGCGCATTCGCGTGTTCGTTCCTCCCTGCTTTCCCTGGGCCCTGCTCTGTGTGTGTGACCAGCACTACCCTGACCAGCGTCCTTTCTCTTGGGCTTGCCCTGCAGGCTGGGGCCTGCAAGCTGAGCACTTGGGCAGCTGTCCAGGAGAGATTCAAAGACTGCCCAGATGATCTGCAGCCCCCGAGCCGGCAGGTGTTTCTGTTGGTGGTGCACATTTGCACATGCCTTGCTGCACAGAACAAAATTTATTCCACAGATGGATGAAAAATGAGAAGGGACATAGGCCAGCAGCCTGGGCGGGGATCACTCCAGCAAGTGCCGCTTCATAAGCCCCGCTGGTCTGATGTCTGGTCCCGGTGCAGGTGGGGGCGAAAGGGCCCTGCCCTTAGCCAGCGCTTCCAGAGCTATTCCCCCTCCCCCCGCATGCACAGCTGCTCCTTGGGGTTTGTGCTTTACATCCGGACAACACAAGACCCCGCCCCAAGAAACACCCAAACCAGGGGGAATGTCCAAGTTAATTTACTTCCCCGCTCGGCGCGTAAATAATCATCCATCCATCCCTCGTTACAAACCAACCCACGACAAACCCGCCGGGTCCCGCGGCCCGAAGGACTCGGCGCCGGGGCGGAGAGCAGACCCGCTCTGGACAGCGAGGCTGTCGGCGGGGGGGTGCGTGCGTGGAGGGAAATAAGAGAACAGCCCCAAAGTAACAGAAGGAGCCCGAATCCTTCTCTTCCGTGCCAGCGAGCAGCCGGACAGGCCAGGTCCAAGCTCCGTCCAGCGCCCAGGCCTGGCGTCTCCGTCGACTCCCAGTCCTGGCGGGCGCGGCCGGTCTGTCCTTCGGACCAGTGGCCCCTGGGGAGATGGCAGGGGGGATC